AATGATGCTGCTTTCATTATTCTTCAGTTTAGTCCCAGCAAGCACCCAGAAACTCTCTCAACCAAAGCCAATAAATTGATAACTTCACCCAGAGAACATTTACTCCTTTTCTTTGAAAAGGAGTGAGTACCTAGACTCCTTGGCCATCCAGGAGCTTGCTGTCAATATCCATCATACCTGAAAGGAGCTCAGATACTCTGGAATTGGGTGTGAGAAGTGAGGGTAAGGTGATTAAAAGGCAGGCAGTGTACATAGATGCTGTGATGCTGCACACTTATGTGTAAACGCATCCTTCCCTATACCTACCCACCTGCATGTTCACTCTCCTGTAGAGGAAAATGAACTTCTAGTAAAATAGCAGCTTTTTGGACAGCAAAGACAAATTAGTGCCAGTTGCTGAAGTTGTCCAGACTGGACCCAACTCACACACAATTCTACTGTCTCCCATGGGCTTGGGCAAGGGGCATTACTGGAAAATTCTTCAGCCTAGTAAGGCTCTCTGATTTCTATCTGCTATTGGTTGTTTGAGCTGACAGCAATGAAATAATAAAGAGAAGTCTGAGGGCAATCAAAAGAGACTTCAGGGCCTTGGCACCATTGGCAGAGGGATAGGGAGCACAGGTGCTGGCTCCCTTGATCCTTCCAGTTACAAGGAATAATGCTGTTAGGCAGATCCATCAGGTCAATATGTGGCTCCAAGACTGGTGTAATTGGAAAATTTTTGAGTTTGTTGACCATGAGATGATCTACTCAACACCTGGTCTACTGAGCACTGATGTGATGCACCTGCCTCAGAGGGGGAACAGAGCTGTGGCACAGGAGCTCGTGGGGCTCCTTGAGAGAGCTTCAAACTAGCTTGGAAGGGGGAAAGGGATAAAACCAGGGCTCACCTGTGAGGAGTGAGGGCACCGTGTGCCGAAAACTTGAGGGAATGAGCACCACTGTGATCCCTTAATCTGCTTTACAAGACATTGGCTACAATGTACCACACCTGAAATGTTTCCACACTAGGCATAAGGAACAAAGCCAAGGTGCTTGAAGCTTTGGCCCAGTCTGGGGAGATGAGTCCTGTTACTGCAGTGCAATTTTGGATGTTTCTAGGCTCTTGAGGAGAGGGAGAGGCAGAGGGATGGTACTGTATGGAACAGAAGGGTTAGAATATATGGAGCTCACAGTTGATGATGGAACAGTTGAGAGCCTCTAGATTACAATCAAGTGGCAAACAAATAATGTGGATGTCATTGTGGGAGTCAGCTACAGACTACAGCCAGGATGATGATACAGATGAATAAGGCTTTGAGGAGCTAAGGGACACACCTCCAAGCCAACTGCCCCCTGTCCTTACTGGGGACTTCAGCTTGCCAGAAATTAACTGGAAGCATCACAGCTAGTACAACTGAGGCCAGAAGATTCCTAAAACACCTGCATGTGCTTTAAACTGCCCATGGCATTGCCATGGGTGTGAGTTGCTCCTTTGAGTTCAGTCTATTACCAATGTCATCAAGTAGCACCTGTAAAATTGGGAACTAAATGCATAATTAAGAACCCCTTGAAATGAAAGAAACCATGAATTTTAACCTCCCTAGCACAGAAACTCTTATTTCAAAAAATCTAATGACTAACTGGTCTCTTAATTTTTACTTGAGGTTATAACAGTAGTTCAGTGTATAGACTCCTTACATCATTCTGTGTGCAACAGGAGACCAGTACAAATATTCCAGTGAGGTGGTAAAGCCATATTGAGTTTTTCCAGCCACCCTGACATCCTGAAGGCAGAACTCAAAGGTAACTGTGACCTGAGCTCTCTATTCAGCCTTTTATTGACTTAATGGCTCACAGGGAAAATTACAATGCTGCTAAAACTGGGTTGGTTCAAAGGAAGAGCATGAGAAAGCCCTGCAGTGATATGCACTGTTTATGCAGTGAGTTTTTATATATGGCATTCCTGGAAAATGTGAAAAATTTTCAGAGTATAAATAATTTTTCCCTCAAAAGGGTTTTGAAATGCCATGCTTTAGATTAACAGTGAGGTAAATTAGCTTGTTCAATGACTATGTTTATTTTCTTAGGGATGAGATGGAATTTTATAAGTAATTTAATTCAAGTAAGGACAAGAAACATAGTCATAGGTCTCCACAGCAGTCAAATTAATTTCCTCTGCCTTTTGTTCCGGTTCATACAAACATCCAAATCCACCATCAAAGTAGCAAGCTCATTTCTAAAACAACCTATTGGCTCAGCAGCTAATTGTAAGTGGTAGCTAAGTTCAGTGCAAACCTGTAAGAGTACTACATTTACCTGCAGGTTTAAAAAAAGACCCTGGCCTGCACAGTTTATAAAAACTCACTGTCCTGCACTGTGAATTTTAATATTGAAAGCTGGATTTAAAAAAATCATCAGGATGTCCCTTATTTTATGAAGGGTAAAAAGAAAGCATTTGTTTCTGCAATAAGATTATCAGAATTAAATACTGTGATGTCAGACTAAGTAGCATTACTTTAGCTCCTGTATGGTTGAGTGATTTTACTATAATAGTTTCTCATAATAATACTTTTTATCTGTAATACATAGGGGATAGAGAGACTGACAGAGCTATAATCTTTCTTTCAAAAGCACGGTGTTAAATGAAGAGGGTTCAAGTGAAAATATAATTTGGAAAGGAAGATAAAGATAGCCCTATATAAGACTGTGTCATCATTTCAAGTGAAAGATGTTAGCTCTGAAAATAATAAAATAATGCCATATATTATGAAGATAAGTCAACTTCAAATGTGTACTTCAGGGCCTGGAATTTATTTGTTTGTGGCAAAAGGCTGTGTATGCTTATGTGTACACAGCTACTCTTGCCACTGCTATTTGCTGTTTGTGCAGGGCTGTGTGTGCTGAGCATTGAATGCATTTTTGAAGACCAGGGTCCTGCCACAAAAAACCCTTTCCACCTACTAGAATGAACAAACACGTTCTCCAGGTTTCACAGCTGGCTGTGTGTAAAAGCAAAGCTCCTCTATGTGTACTGAACCTGGAAACTAAACCTGGAACAGCTTCAGTGTGGATGGCATCTTCTACTGGCCTTCTTCCATAGCTCTCCCAAAACTCCTGAGGCTGTCTTTCCCATGATCTTTTAAGAGTATATGGTCATTGGTGAATAAAAGGCAAATATGAAGTGCTCCTGAACTATCCTCTGACCACCACAATCACTCAATGCCTTCACAATTTTAATGCTGCAAAAGAGATTTTAGACTGTCCTAAGCAATCGGGTGTGCTCACACCTAGGATTTCTGCATTACACCACCCAAAGTTAAAGCATTTCATTGCATCCAGAGAAGGGCGATGGAGCTGGTGGAGGGTCTGGAGCACAGGTCTGAGGAGGAGCAGCTGAGGGAGCTGGGGATGTTCAGCCTGGAGAAAAGGAGGCTCAGGGGGGACTTTTGTTGATCCCTGATGCAGGAAGGAGGCTGTAGCCAGGTGGGGGTTGGCCTCTTCTCCAGAAAATGACAGGATAAGAGGACACAGTCTTAAGGTCTGCCAGGGGAGGTTTAGGTTGGACATGGAGAAACTCATCTCCACAGAAAGGGTGATTAGACATTGGAATGGGCTGCACAGGGAGGTGGTGGAGTCCCATCGCTGGAGGTGTTTAAGGAAAGACTGGACATGGCACTCAGTGCCACGGTTTAATTGACATGGTGGTGTTTGGTCATAGGTTGGACTTGAATTGCAGAGGTCTTTTCCAACCTAATGGATTCCATGATCCCATGAAGTTATCACCAATTTTTACGTGCACACATCTATGATTTTTGCATCAGGCCACCCAGATGTGTCAAAGTGCAGAGCTCCAGCATTTCACCTTTCCTGGGCCTGCGTGTGACTGTGCATGTGAGGAGAACATGGAATCATGGAATCTTTCAGGTTCTTAAAGACCTCTGAGACCACCGAGTCCAACCATTAACCCAGCACTGCCAAGCCCACCACTAGACCATGCGGCAAACTACTAAACTATAGCAAAGCACCACAGCTACACGTTTATTGAGCACTTCCAGGGATGGTGACTCAGGAAGTGGCTCTCGGCACCTCAGGGCACAGCAGTGCCCTCAGCGTGTGGTGTAACCTCCTTTTTCAGCCGGCCTTGTGTGGGATTTGGGAGCGGTGGTGTCTGTGTTGTTCTGAGGGATGGTTGCACAGAGTCAGTATGACAAAAGAGCCCTACATTTAAGGGCTGTGTTATGTCGGAACAGCAGGGGGTCTGCGCCCCTTACACGGGGCTTTGCCTAAAACATCCCCTCATGCTTCATCCCCGAGCGCTGCGGCCCCTTTAAGGAGTCACATGGCTTTTGGGCGGCGTTGTAGTCCCTTGACCGGGGTGGCAACTCTGGCCGGCGCGGCTGACGGCAGACCGGAGGACTACAACTCCCAGCAGCCATCGCGGAGACGGATGAGCTCATCCGCCGCGCCCTGGTGGGCGTCGCGATGCACGCTGGGAACTGTAGTCCAATGCCAGTACCGGTGGTAGGTTGCGGCGAGGTGCAGAACTACGCCTCCCAGCGTGCCGAGCGTGGTCGGTTCCCGTCAGCGCCGAGGGGGAGCCCCCCAACGTAAAGGGGGATCACTTTCCCCTTGTGTCCGCCATATTGGACGGTAACTCTGCCCAGCGGCGCCGGGGCCGAGCGAGTCTCCGTGGCCGTGACAGCCCCGCTTCGCCCGCGCCGCCCGGGGAGCTCCGGCCCCGCCCGGCCTCGCCAGCCCCGGGCGCTTGGCGCGACCCCGCGCCCCTTCCCCCCACCTCCTCCTCCCCGGCGCTCCCTCCTCCCGTGCCCGGGTGTCAGCACCATGAGTCCGGCCGACGCCAAGCGAGGAGCGAAGCGCCGGAAGAACAAGCGGGGCGGCGGCCTCGGCAGCACCGGCGGGCCGGGACCCAGCGGCGGCACCGGCGGGCTGGGCAAGGCCGGGGGTGCGGCGGCAGCGGCCCCCGCCCCGCCGGGCGCGGTGGGCGCCCTGCTGACAGCTCCGGGCGGCGGCAGCGGAGCCCCGGGCGGCGGCGGGGCCGCGGCGGGACACGGCGAGGTGAGCGGGGCCGGGGCGGGCGCGGTGACATCGCACACCCGCGCTGGCAGCCGGGGCTGCACCGCCACATCCCCCCGTGCCCCCGGGCCGCTCGGGCCCCGGCGGGGTGTCGGGGCTGGGCCCGGGGCTGCGGGGAGGGGGCGGCGGGGCTGGGGCTGGGGCTGGGCAGCGGCCGCAGCTCCCCACCCTTTGTGGGGGAAGGGCCGCGCCGGCTGCGCGGGGCCGCCGCGTCCTGGGGTTTGTCCTGAAAGCGGCTTCGGCCTCCCCAGCCGCGGGGTCTCACCTTAATGGAGGAGATGGAACAGATAGGCGGGCAGGCCTTGAGAAAGCAAAAAGACACCTCCATTACGCCCTTTTTGCAGTAGCCAACTTCAGTATTAAGCATAGGAGGTCCATTGTAGCTTGGACTGTGTTTGGCACTCTGGTGCCTTGGAATAATTCAGATCTGTTACATTATATCATATTATGGTGAAATTTATTCGAGCAGATTGTGTAGTTGAACTGATATTTTTTCCAAGAAAAAGTACTCAAGGATCAAGCCCTTAAAAAGGTGTCCTCTTGGTTCAAGTAGCAAAAGAGCAAATAAGTTCATGTTCCTTTCTCTTGTGAAGGTTACCTCAAGTTTTTTGTTATCAACACAGAGCTTGTGTTCAGGTATCATATTTACAGCAGCATTTCCTGCTGACAGCATCTTCAGACTTCCATGTGCATGTCATACCACCTGCTCCGTTTCCTCTTGCTCTCATGAACTTGTTGAGCACGTGAAGGGGAAATGAAAGAATTGGCTTTTGTGATGTAGCATGTCTGAAATGCCATAATATAACAAATGGGTTTATTTTTTTCTCCATGTAGTTTTGTGCCCATCTATTTTGCTGGGTCAACCAACAATCAATCTGGTGATTGTAGGTTGATCCCCCCGCCCCCCGTCTTCTAAGCTTGGGTTTATACACTTTCATACCTGGCTACTGTACTTTTGATTAACTGTTTCTGTATGTCTGTCCTAATCTGACACTTAACTTCATGCATAATTTCCTTTTGGGACAGTAGCCCATGTGTGACTTAGATACCCAGAAGAATGATGTGCCTAATGGCAAGAGGTGTGCAGGTTTTTATTTGCAGCTTTGCAAGTCATCACTCAACACTATTCTAACTAAACCTGTACGAGGAAGATGTGTCTTGTTTTGTTTTGTGTCTTAGATCACAATGTTCCTAGATATTGTTAGACATCATAATGCCAAGGGGAATAAAACCAGCAGGGAAATGATGCTCAGGATGGGACATTGATGTGGCTCCATTACCCCCAATATTTTGATGTTTGTGGCTTGTGGTTATGTGTAGTCTAGAACTTTGGTTCTCATCAGACTGTATGGGATCTTTCTGAAATTGATCTTAAAAGCCAAAATCATTGCTAGTCTACTCATTTGTGTTCCTTATTTCTTTCAGACTAGGCAGTTCCAAATAAAATCTCTCTGAAAGTATGTCATGTCTTGAAAATTAAGTACTGTGTTTCAGCACTACATTTTTGGGAGAATACATCTGTCTATTACACCTGCTTACATGTTATTCATACTTTTATAAGTGTACACAACATATGATTTAATGCATTTGTGACTTTGTCTTAATTGGTCTCTTTTTGCCTCTACTCTTAGATGTGTATGTGAATTGTCAAATGTTTCCATTTGTAATGTGATACAAGGGATTCTGAAGACTGATGGGCAAGTGGGGAGTTAAGTCAGCTAAACAAACAGGTTAGTTAGTTAAACTAGAATACACCTGCAGCACAGATGTTGCTCAATCAAACAGTAAGCATGTTAGAATGAGGTTTTGAGGATAGGTAAATCCCTGTGCTCAGTTTCTTGGAAGGTAAATGCTTATACCCCATAATGCTGCTTTAAAGTTGGTGTTGCTTACTCCATAGTGGTTTCAGTGACCTCTTTCTTGACACTTTCAATAGCTCACCAATGGTTGTGACATGAAAATTGCCAGTACTTAAAAATTTGCTGATAATCTTGTTGCAAAGGTGAAATCGTAGTGTCATTGCATGACTCTTGCTGATGTGAGAATAGGATCACCTTAATGGTGTGTTAAAATTTGGTAGTTTAAGTACATGGTCAAAACAAGACTTGGTTTTTTGAGTGAAAGACTAGCAGATGTTTTTTCTGGATGAAGTTGAGAAGGAAAACTGTAATTTACAGGACAGATTAGTTCTAAATTAGGTGCAATGTTTGTTTTGGCTGAATGGAGAGTAAGCAACACACTAATAGCTGCTAAGTAGTAACCAGACTTGCTTTACTTTCATCTTACCCAGAATAATGTGGAGTTCCCTTTGGTGGGTAAGAGAAATCATCAACCAGTTCTCTGCTGAACTAACTTAAATATTTAATTTTTGGAAAGGTGTGTGTTCTACTTGTTCTCATGCTCTCATTGCTCTCATGGAGTTTCCAGCTTTTGTCACTTACCTGGTTTTAGGGCAGCCATTCTGGGTGGGGTGGGCACATCCTTCTGATTGTGTTCTGTTAGGTGATTCTTGCAAATCTTGTCTAAAAGAATGAAACAGGATGTTAAATGAATAATCCTGTGTGTGGTGCACATTCTTGTGTGTCAATAATTGTTCAGGATAATGTATACTTTGAACCTCCTTTATAAAACGGGTTGACTGTAGTTTAAAAATGAATGTATTTATGGTTCAGACTAAAAGCTCATGTGCCAGCATTGAAATCCCAGCTAACTCTGTTAGAGCTAACAAATAAATTTGAATTGATGTTTTTATACATCTTATCTGGAGGGTTTTTGAAGACTGTAGGCTAAATTCTGCATTAGAGTACATGCTGAGTCTTGTTCTGGGATGCAAGTGGGCAACTCCTAACGGGATCTTCCTGGAAGGAATGTTATTCCATGCACATGCTTTGTAACATCTGAGTTCATCCTCTGAGGCACTGTTAGATGCTTTGGAGTGCTAGTGAAGTTAAGGGTGCATTGGCAGTGTATCAGTGCAAGGAGTCTCAGTTTTGAAAACCTGTAACCGTGTCAACTTTAACTGGAAACCAAGACATTTAATTGTCCAGTGCTGCTGCAGGACTTCTCTAGGATTTTTTCTTTTTAATATGTGTATTTATAGAAAGAGATGTTGCTTTCTGTTCTGTTTTGGTTTTAATTCAGTAATGCATTGTATCAGGCTTTCTTAATTTTCCTATGAATTTTTGACGGACAGTTGGATTATTGATGTTGTGAGAGGCATTTGATTATCTCTAGCAACCACTGCATAATTCATACATATACTATAGCAAAATTGGCTATTCATTAGTATGTTCAGGTATTTTGGACAGAAGAATGGTGTATCAGTAGCTGATCAACTACAGAAATACTTTTTGTTACAGGTCTGACCAATCTTGTGTTATTAAAGGGAATAATTTAGTAGCCATTTTACAATTCTCTCACTTGCATTTTTCAAAGTATTGTATGTCAAATGTAGTAATGTATTAGATCTTCTTACATTGGAGAGCTCTTTGAGAATTTCATAAAATACTTCAGCAGACTTTTTTTTTTATTATGAAGTACTGCTTTTTAAACAGAGATTCTATACATAGCAGAATGTACATTGCCAATTTCTTCAGCAGCTTTGTAGCTCGTTGTGTTTTAGTGACATGTATGTTTGATTTGTGATTTCAGATTTTCCCTGTTCTCTCTTCCCATTCCATGATTCAAACACTCAGAAAAGGAGCTTTGTCAGGAGCTCAGAAGTTCAGCAAATAGCTAGCTTTTGTGCTTTTATGTAGGGCCTCCTCCTCTCCAGAAGCAAACTTCTTTTGGCCAATTTTTGTCAAGGTTCAGGTAAACTAGATAAATTCAAATTAATAAAACAGTATTCTAACCTCTGCTCCTCAAGCTGAGGTGGCCGGTACTTATAAACACTGACTTGAAGAAAAACAAGCCTTTGTGACAGTCAGGTAGTAAATTTCTTCCTCTGATTAAAGGTAGTTCACTTTTTTTTTTGTAATAGACATGCAGTGCCTGCCCTGAAGAGCTTATGCTCTGCTTTTTGTAATGAAAGGAGACAGAATGGGATAAAACTATTAGGATTTGCTTTAGATGGTATGGTTGAGTTAACTTGCTAATTTAGAAACAGAATCTAAACAGAACATTTCAAACTTTAAAACAAGCTTAGTGGTTGCATAACATTGACATTATTAGCTCTTTCATAGCTTCTTCCCATGCTCAGTTAAGGCATTTTTCAGCTAATAGACCTCAGCCCAGAGGCACAGAACCAGGGACTGGGTCAGATCTCGTAATGTTGCTCCTGGGAAGAGAGTGCCTGTGTGTACTCATGACCTTGATGTATATCCAATCCCTGAGCAGTGCATTTCTCCCCCACCTCCTGCACCTGCAAAATCATGGTCACCTGATAATGACAATAATTGGTTGTGAATTGTTAAATCAAGCAACCAAAATATCAAAAGTGTGTCTGAAAATAATGGCATCGGGTTCAGCGGTGTCTAATCCGTATCAGCTAAGGATCCTCCTTTGGCTTTGTTAGGAGACATTTAATTCCAAGTGTGAAGGCAGAGAATTTTTTTTCTCCTTGCTGTATTGGATGCAAAATGTAAGAGATTGAGAGAGAGAATTTTTTTACTCTAAAAAACATAGTGACTCCATTCCTCTCCTCCCTTTTGTTTCCTGACTGTGGAGGCAAAACCTTGGTGATTTAATTTGGAACTAGATTAGTTTGAAAAGTTAGTTCTGAAGTAGGTGTATATTGATGGGAATATCCAGGGTTCTTATCCTGTAAATTTTTTGCCCCCAAACATTACGTAAAGCTTTATGTAAGTATTTAATACTGCATTATTTTCTTGGTTATGGAAGTTTTCCTGTTGTAGTGGTATCTCATCTTGGGGGGAGTCTTTGGATGCTTTCTCCTTTACAACAGGAGATCCAGTCAGCTTCTCTTCTGCCTGCCAAGGAGACCCGAGAGGATCTGGAAGTTCAGTTTGGTGGTGCTTGGT